ACACCTTGTGGAAATTAACATGCTACCATCACCGTCCTTAGTCGCATCGGTTTTGTGTAGATCATGGCAGACACTGGGGAGAAGGTTCCGGGAAGGTCGTATTGCTTCCTCCGCCAAGCTCTGCTGTCTGGAAGCCATTTTGGCTTTGTTCCTAAACGAAACCCTCAACCCCAAACCCAGCCCTCAACCCTAAACACCACTTTTTGCCTAAAGCTTTGTCTTGGAACTTCATCCTTGATGGATTCCCATGCCCCGAGACCCTAAACCTAGATGATTCGGCTTCGATGGTTACTTACAATGCAATTACCGTGCAACAATAGGACTTGGCCTTGCACTTGGCCTCGTAATGGCACCGAAGGCGACGCTGTCAGCTTCGCAAATCATTCGTTTATATATATATATATATACATGTATGTATGTATGTATGTATGTACGTATGTATGTATGTATGTATAGTTGAAAGAACACAGCCCCAGAGACCCGACAGAGGAGGTTACAGAGGTTAGGTTGAGAAGCCCTGCTTTAATGCTTCAGAGGCCCTGGTTTCACTTGTGAAGTCAGACTACGAACGCCACTTTGGCTCAAGGAAAAAGAGGGCAGTGCAGTTAGATGCCCTGGTTCTATAGAGGGTTGGCCGGGTTTAAGTACCTTCCTTCCCTCTTGATTGGTTATCAGCCGTAGCTCTTTGTTTCCTTTGGTTTCCTACTTGAACCCGGCCGCAGGGTTTTAGTGGTTCTTCCCCTGCCATAGCAAGAGCGCAGCCGTAGGCGCGCTGGTGGGCAGATTGCTAGTGGGGTGCTGCCTTGTGCGCACCGGCTAGCATATGCCACCAAAGGGCGAGGCACCTGCCGGAGACAAGCCCTACAGAGGGGCCCGCGCAGGAGCCAAGAGGAGGAAGCTTCACTTTTACCAAGCGCAGGACGCGTTGATCCATCTTGCTGAGACGGTACAGAATATAATCGTGCAGAGGCGGAACTTTGAAGACGTTTCCGAAGCACACTACGACACGATTATCAGATTCGGCCAGATTACAGAACAAGTCGACGTATATCACCCTGTTTGGGCAGACTTGGTCGAGTACTACCCGGAGTTGTGGACTGCTTTTTCGGACGTCGCGAAAGAGCCTGCCACTGGGTTAGGAGCTCGCTGGAGGCCGAAAGCCGCAGCAAAGGCAGCTGGATCAGGGGGTGCTGCTTCAAGCGCACCACAGGAGGAAAGGCAGCCAGCCGAAGCAGCGTCAGCCGCGCCCGCCCAGGGTGCAGCCTCTGGCGCACCGGCGCAACCGCCTACACCTCCGAAGGCGCCGGCTCTTGGAATAAGGGGACCCACCCGGGACCTTTATATTACAGGGGTCGGAGCGACCCGCTAAGGCAAAGAAGGGTGCCAGCCGAGCCAGAGCAAGTCGTTGAAGACACCGGCGCAAGGGCATCATCTGAGCCACCAGCTGCTGAAGAGGAGGTGGACCTCACGCGTGCCGGCGGCAATCCGCCAGAGGAGTCCCCGCAGTCTGCCAGTCGTGTTCGTACCCCGCCGTCGCGGCGAGCACAAGAAGAAGCCAGCCTGGAGGAGCTTAGGCTTCGTGGCTCGGTGTTTTCCTCTTTTAGGGACACCGAAGGCGCGGAGCCCGAGCAGGCCGACCAGGCAGAGCAGGCAGCCGGCGAGGAGGAGACCGAGGAGGTAGAGGTAGAGGTCGAGGTTGCCCCAGGTGACGACGGGGGTGCTGCCGCAGGCGCACCGGACGACGAGCCAGCCGAAGGCCGACAGGCGGAAGGTGCCGAGGAGGAAGAACGACGAAGCCATTGAAGTGGCACCTGCCTCGGAGGCGACAGTTTCTCCAGCCACCTCGGAAGCCGCGGCCCCAACGTGGCCGGGGTGTGACCCGCAGGCCACTGATCCTTGCACCTTCCACCGAAACCTTTCCAATGGTTCGGGTTGATAGTCAGGGTGCTTGGGTTCGAGTTAGGGATTCCGGTGCGGTTCCTTCCTTTCAGCGTCGTGCCGTGCCCCCCCCGAGGGTGCAGCGCACAGCGCACCAAGGGGACGCAGAAGAAGCCCTAAGTGCGCCCGATCCTTTTCCGAACAAAACGCAAGGCAGCGGGGTGCTGCCAGGCGCACCGGCAACACCCAGGGCACCGCCACAAAGGCGACCGTTCCGGCAGGGTGAGATCGTTGAAGCCGAGGTGGAGAGACAGCGACCTTAGGGCAGCCGCCCGAGGGAGAGCCTCCAACGAGGCGCCCCCCGTGTAGTCCGAAGGCACCCGGCGTCCCCACCGCAGCCAGCGCACCATTCAGGCACAGGCACAGGTCAGGCCAGGCGAGGTGCAAAGGCAGAGCCCATAGAAGCCGTTGAGGAGGCAGGGCCCAGAGAGCGCACAAGGACCCCGCGCCGGGCAGAAGCAGCTCCCCCAAAGGGTGCTGCACAGGCGCACCGGGGTCGAGGGCGCAGTGGGTCGTCTGGGTGCAGCTTCCGAGGGCGATTCCCCGAGGTCACGCGCACCGGTGACAAGGGAAAGTCTGCCAAAGGCGCGGCAGCCACCCAGAGCTTCCAAAAGACACTATTTAAGAAAACGCACCTTATTTAAGGAATTGTGCGAGAAATAATTGCAAAATTAAGGTCTTTTTCCTTATTTAAGGTGTTTTTCTAGAAAAAGTTGCTTAAATAAGGGGTTTTGGTCCTTAAATAAGGTGTGTTTTCTTACATAAGGTGTTTTTCCTTAAATAAGGTGTTTTTTTTGACACCTTAAATAAGGTATGTTATTTTTTTATTCGTCATGTTATTGTATGCTTGTGTGGTGTATGCGTGTGTCTGTGTGTGTGTGTGTGTGCGTGTGTTTGTCAGTACGTGTCTGTGTGTGTGTGTGTGTGTGCTTTGTGGCCGGTTGTTTTTCCGCATCCGTGCAAGTCTGCAGCTCAGGCCAGTGTTGGCAACCTCCTGTTGTTGACACAAAACTTGCTAAGCATTTGCTTGGAAGTGCCTTTCATCGAGTACTTTCCTCCACGACGTTTTGCGTGGAGGGACAACACATGGCCGAAGCCCTCGTCTCGATACGTCCACGTCTCGCTGGGCCGCCGCTTTTGGCGGCCCAGCTCGAGAAGCAGGTGCATCTTGGGCTTTGTCCTAAAATATGTTTGCCCTGGGAATTTACTCAACTCTACAAACAAAGCTGCAAACTTATTGACAGTCTTGTGAAACTTCTCGGCATCCCAATGCCTTTCGGACAAGAACTCATAGCAACTGTGCAGATGCTTCGCAGTCTGCCTCACCGTTCGCTCGAAATCTGAATTGCCCATGTGCCTTTCAGCGCATTCCTTGGCGAATCCGATGAGGTCGCGAGCCTCGCCGGCTTTAGCCCGCAACTTGGGCCACTTCTTGTTTTTGCTTTTCAGCATGAGCGGAGTCAACGTGCTCATGCGGGACTGGGACAGGTTTCGGCGATAATAATTTTGAATATCGCCAAAAAGGTTCTTGCAGCGATCGTGGACACTTCGCTCGGGGAGCTTTGTCTGCACGACCATATGAAAAAGCCCACCCATGTAGTCAGCTGCACATCCTAAATCCATGCAGTGAAGCCAATCAATGCAGCACTTCTGTACTGAAAAGCAAGGACAACTGAAAAGAGGGCTCAAGTTCTTGCCTTCAGAGATCTGCCTGGCCAGGAACTGGTAATGCGACAGGCGCGAGCTCCTGCAAGGGCATTGGCCGAATGGTCTAGAAACCAAGTTTAGACAGTTGGGGGTAGGGAAACTGCTGGGGTAGAAAACCAATTATATGTTAAAAAAAAGGAGAGGCCTCCTCAACAGGAGGCCCCTCCTTATCCTAGAAACGGAAAAATCAATGAGGAGATGCCTCCTCGATAGGAGGCACCTCCTGGAGCAAAGTGTCCTCCAAGAGCTGCTCTCGTCAACATCATGTAGATCTTGCAAAGTCGCTTGACAAAACCAGCAGATTGGGCCGTTGCCAGTCCAGCCAGGTAGTCGCAACACTTCCTGGTATGCCAACCAATCCGCCCGCACTTCCGCCAAGACTGCCCGGCAGCCTAGCGGCTGCGAGGCTCTCCTCTTTCGCCAGCTGTCGTTGCCAAGGAAACGAGACTCGTCGTGACGGAAGGACGGGAAGAAGCCAGTATAACAGCATCTCATCGACCAAGCAATGATAGCCGTGACATCATCCCAGGCAGCTTCAGGCATCTGAAAGAATTTTGGAAACCCTGTCAGTGGAAAGCGAAAGTCGCCAGCATCTGTAAGCCCTGGCAAGCTGAGGGTTGCACACTGCAGTGTCTGGCTACGGTCTGAGCTAAACGGTACACCGTCTAGCCACAGCCCCAACAGCAGGACATCATTGCCGTGCTCTTGAAGTTGCTCTTGCAAGTTGGGAATCCGAGCCTGTTGATTTCTGATTTCCGAAACATCGTTAGACTCCAGGAGAACGTGTAGCACTTCGTGCGGAAGCATGAAGGCCAGGGTGTAGAGGTCCTCCTTGCCAGTCCTTGGATTCTTGCCCCGGACTTGGCACTCATATGGCGGCGGCCACGGTGTTCGGCGAAGATTGCGCCGAAGCAAGTTCCTGGCAGTGTTGCTTCCCTGCTTAGCCTGGGCCAGATCTTTGACCCCCTTGGCGCCTGCGAGCCCAGCATTTTCGCAGAGTCGACTGGCTCTGGCTCCACTGATGTTTCCAGAAAAAAACAAATCCATGCAATCATGTCTAAATCTATCTTCCTCTGCGATATGCTCCAAACTAGATGCCGGCCCTTTGCTCAGCATGTCTGCACAGGAGGCACATCCTTCGTAGGAGTGCCATCCTAGAATTCGAGCCCAGCGAAAGCGAAATGCACGGCAGCAGAGACTTGCAACTCCGAGCGAGCAGTTTTGACCTAGCGACTCAGCGAAACCAAAACATGGCATGCAAGCCAGTTTGCCATTTTCCACAAGCCGCCAAAACTGAAGCTTCCAGCTCTCAAGATCGGATGAGCATCCATCGCAAAAGATGGATTTGTGCAAGCTTAGACACCGAAGCGGCTCTTCAACTTCTTGTTGTAGGCCGTGGCTGCAGCCAGGTGGCTGGTGGCTTCCTCACTCAGCTGGGTGAGCTCCGGCAACTTCGCTTCCATGCATCCCTCGCTCATGTTCATCCACTCGCTGATCTTGAAGCGCAAAGTCTTCAAGAAGCCTCGGAGGGTCTCGATCTTGGGCCCAACTTCGTCCGCCTCCGCTTGGGGACCGTGAGCAACCAGCTTGGCGTGCTGCTCCTCGAGCTCGCCCGCCACCTTCCCCAGCTTGCTCTTGGCGGCCTTGCAAGCACTGTAGGCCTTGTTCCAAGCCTCTTCGTTGGCGGGCACCTCCAGGTCCGGGTTGTCGAACTTCTCGACGAGCCTGCCGAGGTCGCTTCCTTCCACGTTGGCGCAACTGCTCCAGCCCAGCGAGTTCGTGGCAGCTGTGTCCTCCGTTTCGACCTTCTGCTTGTAGTAGTACTTGGCCAGCAAGGGGTTCTTGTGAGGCTTGCAGTCGGACTTGAATCCAAACTCTGCCTCACAGTCGGCGATCAAGTCCTTGAGCGTGTCAGCAGCCACAGCCTCGTCCATGTTGCTCGGGTCCAGGCCGTTCATCTTGAGGATCTGGCTCCTGGAGAAATCATTCGAGTAACATTACAAACCAATCTTACTTGAAATGCCAACTGAAAATAAAAAAAAACTGAGCATAAAAAAAGTCCTGTTGAAGTAGCCCTTCGTGGTGCTCTCCTTGTCCACGCTTTGCGTTTGGTATTCGCTTTGCATCTCGGCGAACCAGCTGAGGTCACGAAGCCCGCTCGTTTGCAATTTCTGCAATATTTCTTTTTTTCCATGGACGCCAGACTGTTGGTACTTCAGCAAGATATCGTTCGCTTGTTCGCGATGCTTCTCCGTCATTTTCTTAGCCTTGATTTGGTACTTGAGGCTTGTGAGCAAGCCTGCCACCTCTGCCTTGGCCATCCCCAAAGTTTCCTTCGGCTTCTGGGGCGACAAGGGCTCCGTCTTGACAGGTTCCCCTGCGGCCGACTTGGTTCGCCTTCTGCGGGGGGAGGTGGTCTCGTGGTTGCTCGGCGAGGCTGCTGCGGCCTTGGCCTTTGCCGTGGCCTTCGGTTGGGTCTTGGCCTTGGCGGTGGTCTTCGCCTTGTTCTTGGCGACGGCCTGAGCGACAGCGCTGCGACTGCGGAGGAGCCCCATCTTGCAGGGGACGGGTGCAGGAGGCGAGGAGGCCAGCACGTCAGGAGCCCAAAGCAGCTTCGTGAAAACACGTTTTTTTTTTTGCAAGAATCTAGGAGGACCCTCCTTCACAGGAGGATCCTCCTACAAGTGAACATCGGTTTGGGATGCACATGCAAGGCTGAGGTGGACTTCCTAGGAAAGCACTGCAACATGTGTCCGAAAATCTTCCAAGGACCAAGCTCGACCCTCAACTTGCCAATCGCCAAAAAGGAGGGCCCTCCTTTATAGGAGAGCCCTCCTGGGAACCTCTTCCTCGTCAGTACCACACGGCACCGCAGACGGTCGCATTTTTCCAAGCGCCACGGAAGAGCACGGTCGCCAAGCAACCTGGGATGGGATTTGTTGAGGTTGTTGGTTTAGGGGTTGCTTCTAGCTTTTTCCCAAGCCCGACCCCCAGCCAACCACTAACAGCCAGAAACACCAGCCCATCCAACCCACCCCCCCACCCCCCCAACAACAACACAAAACAAAACTTCTAGCCCACCAAAACTTCCCCCCCCCCCCGACACACCCCGAACAGTTCAGCACGAAAGCCCCGACACGAAGAAACTGCACCCGGCAACACAAGGAAACACAAGCCCGACAACAGACCAAACCGAAACCTTTGCAGCCAAGGAGCTCAGATCATAGCCGCCACAGCCACAGCAGAATCTGAGGCAGCAGACACCCCTAGGGTTAATTTTTTTAACCCATGGGTTAAAATTTTTAACCCTTCCTTTATATATTTAAAAGCAAGCAGGGTTAAAAAAATTAACCCATCGGTTAAAAATTTTAACCCTGGTCTTTCCCGACTGAGCTTGCAAAACTGTTTCCAAACTTGTGTTTCGTTTTCGGGGGCTGGCCTCTTTACTGAACGAAATCTTTCGGGATCTTCACCAAACCACCCTAAACCCAAAACACATGTTACTAGTACACAGGAACAACATGGTGCCAATGATGTGAAAACTCTGGGCTGCACTCTAGAAACCGATCCAGGGCCCGTGTCCTTGTACTACCCGACCCAAGCAAAATACCCAAAACTAGAACAGCTGCACCCTTTTGGCCTATAGGGAGAGCCTCCTCGGTAGGAGACCCTCCCCAAGTCCACCCTGCTGCCGCCCAGCAACCATCACTTGTCCGCCGGGTCGCCGCCCTTCTCCCCCTTCTCCTTCTCCTGGTTGTCGCCCGCATGTGGCTCTCCTGCAGCAGAAGCTCCGAAAAAACAAGCACACACACACAAACTGTCCTTGATCGTTTCCAGCTGCAGGGGCGACGGGCCTGGGTCGCTCAGGATGCAGACGGCTTCCACCGAACTTAAAGGAAAACCGAGACCCGTACGACAACACAATCCATGACCCCGTTGGCGAAGCTGGTGCCGCCGCCTGGCTCCGAGCCTCTGCTGCCTCTGCTTGGCGGCGACGTTTCTCCGGATCGACGGCCTTGGCTCAAAGAACGCACAAGCTGAAGCAAAACAGCAGAGTATTGCGGCCCAGCGGCAACAGGACCCTCTCGTGGACGTTTCTCCGCTTCCGTCTCACCCCACCATTTGCCCTTGGGGCAGCCAGCAGCCTTGGTCTTTACATAGGAGAGCCTCCTGTATAGGAGACCCTCCTTTAATCCCTTACACATAGACAGGAGCCCATGTACGATTTATACAGAGCTAGGACCCTACATTTCTACATGAAGGTTGCAATTCAGGGAGAGCCTCCTTCATAGGAGACCCTCCCTATAGTGCCAAGCTGCATGCCATTGCTTGACCGATTCCTGCCATTGCCTCCGCTTAAGTCCCTTGTTCTTCTTGTTCTTCTTCTTGATGTTTTGCGAAACATTGGCACCGTGGATATCATCGAACTCCTTCGGGGTGTAGTCCGGCTTGCCTCCCTTCTGCGTGTAGGGGTTCCACGGCTCCGACCGGTTGGGGTTGTAGATATAGTAGTCGCCTTGCTCGTTTTCAGGGTTAAGGGCTCTGGCTTGGAGCTTCGGGCTCGAGGTGTTATGGGCCTTAGAGACTTAAAGGATTAGAGGATGCACCCAAACACTTCTGTAGACTGTAAGCTGTTTTTTGAACAGGCGGGTTGGGAGTCGAAGGCTTACCATGCTGGTCGGGTTTCTCGGCACTTTTGGTGGCGACTTTGGAGGGGTCACCGGAGCCTGAGAAAAATCGACAGGTCTTTTGCCTGTTTCCTTAGTGAAATCTGGAGCAGGAGGGACTTTTGAAGTTCAGACAATGGACCAGTAGGCTTGGTCGCTGTTGAAAGAAATCCAGGAGGTGGCACTCGGTGCTGTGGAGGCTGTGGTTGCCACTGCCCCGGAGGCCGAGGTACCCATTGACCCGGTGGCGGCGTAGGTTCACCATACCAATTTCCGGGAGGAACACCTGAAGCAGAGGAAGACGCTGAAGGTGAAACTCGAGCAGCTGGAGCCGATTTCGCCCTCGGAGGAGGGATAGGAGGCTCAGGCTGTACATGATGAGGTGATCCCCGATAAGAATTTCCTTCAGCTGTAAAAGTCCAATCACCGGGCGGTTTATTTCTGGGTCTCGGTGAAGGACGACGAGCAGGTCTCGGTGAAGGGCGACGAGCAGGTTGTTCTGGGCCTTCAGTCACTGGTGCTTGTTCCAGTGGTCGTCGATCTTGTCGACTGCGTGATCGGTGCCGGTGGTGTCGCCTGTGACGATGGTGCCGGCGAGGCCCTTCATCTTCCGATCTCGCTCGAATTGCACGCTGCTGGGTAGAACTCCTAGGAGGATTTTCCTCCCCTTGATTGGTTGTACCAGCAAAGAAATTGACGAGCGGAAGTGGATCGATCAGCAGGGCAACTCTGGCTCTATCTCCGTTGGAATCGTGCCAACCAGGCTCTCGAGCCGGACGAGACCAAGCAGTCGATGAATCAGACGGACCTCATCACGCTTCTGCGTCAGACCGGCACACTGGCCGATGGGGAGACAGTCAGCCGGAATTCGCCGCGACGCGGCAGCTGGCAGAATCCATGGAGGGAGTGGTGACCTTCAAGGTGGACATTCAGTTCAGATCTCCGCGGGCACATCAGCTTTACACCAATCTGGAGCGCCTCGCCGGCCTGGCACCGCTGAACATGCTCGGTCTCTCCTTTCGCAAGGAGAGCTACAAGCGATCGAATGGGATGCAGAAGCTTGCAGAATGGTGTGGTTGAGGCACGCTGTCTGGACCAACCCAGGTAACCTGTGCTACATGCCCTCGTTGGCTTTCATGGGTGGGAACAGGCCACCTCCAGGTTAGGTGTCGCGGCTGTGCGCTCTCTCTCCCTGCGAACTGTTCCCACCTGCCCCTTTGATCTTCGCAGTTGGAGGTCGCTCCTGGTGAGCTGGCTGAACCCTTCTGCTCAACATGATTGCGCAGAGCTCTTAGCTCATCTGGCCGAGCGCTTTCGCTCCACTCTGCTCTTCGGGATTTGGGAGGCTAGGCTACTTGAGGCTGGGGTTTTTGGAGTGGTTGACACAGGTCCGTGTGAGTGCACCATAGGCCTTGACCCTCCTTCTCGGGCACGTGTGGACTTACAGGCCCTTGTAGGCGCATGGAGCACCCAACACAGTGTGTATGCCCTGCGTTATCCGCCACAGGTGCTGATCCTTCGCATTGCGCGGTACAGGCAAACCCCGACTGGGGCCACTGTCAAGAATCACTGTGTCATCGCCTGGTCCCACTTTATTAGTGTGCCTGACTTCTCTGACCATGCCCTTAGCACCAAACCGCTTCGCTATCGCATCTGCGCAGTGATATATCATGCCGGCGCTGCTCTCACTTCCGGACATTATACCTGCTTGCTCATGGCTGATGCGCAGGCTTGGTTTTGCGATGATGGGGCCATGCCTGTCCCTCACGCCTGCTCCGGTAGTGGGTTCGAGTTCAGCTTTATCTCTTCTGGGCTGTCTTGGAGCCTGCAGCGCTCAATGATGAAGTGAGGCTGACGTCTGGGTGTCAGCCACCGCCCAATGTGGTCGCCTGAGGTCATCCTGGGCGCTGGAGCGCCCGATCGGGGCAGCTGCTGCTGGTACGCGCCTCGATTCTGCATCCGCCCCAAGGCTGCGTCGCACTGCGATGCGCTGTACTCCCGACGACACAAACAAAAAAGGAAAAACAAATATAAACAAACCCTAGTTCTGCACTTTCCTGTCATCTTTTCCGCTGCATTGCTGGCACCGACGCGCGCGCCTTATGGTACCACCCTCTTTGCCTTAAAATCGCTCAAATCCGCCACCAACGCATCACCTTCCCACGATGTGCTGGCTGTTCCTTGACTCCCAAGTGGGGGACGCCCATCCAGGCTTGCATCGCTCGGTGTGAGTGCAGACTGGCAGGGTTTGGATGATCACGGCACGGAGCGCGCAGCTGCAGTAGGGTTGTACCAGCGTCATGCATCAGTCTTGACGGTCTAAGCCTAGTCCTGATCTATTGCCGATTGTTCATGCTGGCTTGCTTTTGTCACTGCCAATATGCTTTCAAGCATTGTCTGCCTAATATCCACCACTGCACCGCCAGCTGCACGATCCTGTAGTGGATCACGCCCGACGTTTCATGAGCCTCTCGGGACGCGCCCCCACAGCGCATCCATGCAGTCATCACTTTGCTAGGCCTACTGCATAATCGGTGTCGCCTTGTGTAGCATAGCGTAACGTAGCACACCTTCGATTTCTAGTCTCTGTGTGTCGGGAGCGTTCACCGAGGACTGGGGTTTAAGAGTGCATCAGGGCTCCAGTAACACTGCAAATTCAGTGTACTATAGGGGAGGTGGCTGCCGATGCCAGACGACATCCAGCGGCGTTGCGAGGGTAAAAGGTGAGGTATGCGCCTGAGCAGAGTACATCCTGACCATACATGCATGAGCCCGATGCTCACTCAGGTAGGCCATTCTGCTTGCGTGATCATCATGGATGCTGCCTGCCTGCCTCGCGGGCTCCCGCAGTCCCGCATCCCTCAGTACGGAGTGCGAATGTCATGTCCCACTGACTAGGGAACCCGTAATGCCCCGCATTCCTGCCAGCCTCACTCTTAGTCCACTGTTCCGCACTTTCATGTCATCTGGTCCGCTGCATTGCTGGCACCGACGCGCGCGCCTTATGGTACCACCCTCTTTGCCTTAAAAATGATCCCGATGTCATCCCCTAAATGGAATAGTTACGCACGTTCTGATCCTCTGTAGCGCCCACTCCCTTAGGTATCCCATTCCTCACCCACACTGTCCTGGCGCCTCCTCTGTGCGCCATAAGCTGCCAGTCCTGCTCCTGCCAGTCCTGCTCATCACCGTACTGTCACGGCTCTGAGCTCTGCCAGCGTCGACCCGTTGACCGTGTCGCCTGGCTGCCACTTGACTTGCAACTTGTGGTATCTATTGCTGCTGGGACCATCTTGGTTTTTACTGGATACTGCTGGATTCGGCTGGGACAACGCTGCTCGCTGGCTGATGCTTGGGCGCCTCTCTCCGTGATTGGGATCATTGCGGGAGGCTTGTGGAGTTGCTGTGGAGCTGCTGTGATTGACCGGCACTTGGCACTGGGCCCTTGGCATCTTTTCTTTGGCTAAGAGGGAGACACAACAAAAACAAAAATCAGTAACCCTCTAGCCCCAATGCTACCGCAAAGGCCGGCACCTGTACCTCAGGACATCTGGGAACTCGAGCTACACTCTATTCTGGGGGTGGCTCATCCAGCTTTCGAGGATGAGGATGAGGAGGAGGCGGAGGCCGTGGCATCGCCCCGACTTTCAGCTGCGTATCTTGAGTGGGCCGGCTTTCACTGCCTCATCCCCGGGTGACTTCAGGCGGAGCAGTGCTGATGGGGGGTATGCAGTGACAGTCTGTCCACACGCGTGTGTGGGACACACGTCACTTATTCTCCTCCTCTGCACTGCCCTGCAATCTGCCGACGGGTGCTTCCTCTTTTCTGCACTGCACCGTGGCACTACCTGCGCTTTCTTTTGTACATTCTCAAGCTATCATGCTTAAAGGCTCTACGGGGCGGTGATAGCTTTGTCTGGTTCCCGTGCATACCACTGAGTATGTGCTGTCAAATGACGGCCGGGGTGGCTACAACAGTCGTCCTGACAAAAATCTGTACGCAAGGCTTGGACTCCCTAGCTGCGAGTGAAACGAAACGAACCACCACCAACCCACCACCACCAGCACCACCACCACCACCACCACCACCACCACCACCACCACCACCACCACCACCACCACCACCACCACCACCACCCCACCACCACCACAGCCACCACCACCACAACCACCACACCACCAGCACCAGCACCACCACCAGCACCACCACCACCACAGCACCACCACCACCACCACCCACCAACCACCACCCCACCACCACCGCCACCACCACCACCACCACCACCACCACCACCACCACCACCACCACCACCACCACCACCACCACCACCACCACCACCACCACCACCACCACCACCACCACCACCACCACCCGCAGCAACCATGTGCCACTGGACATATGGGAACTGGAGCTCCCATCCATTTTAGTAGCTGCACATACGCGCTTCCGAAGCCGCAGCGACTCTCCTGACTCGCTGTACAGCGTTGCCTCAAGCACTGATGCCCACAATCCCCCGCCCGCCCGAAGCTCTGACCCCTGTCCTGACCTGATTTCCGAGGCCGATGGACCAGTTCTCGAACCCTGGCACTCCCTGGAATCTGTTACTGAGGAATGGAACGTACAGGAGCAACAGCAACAACATGTGCTGGACGTCCTCCATCAGCAGCGACTGGTGCTATCCACCCGGGCCGCTGCCATTACTGCAGACATGTCTCAAACTGCGCGGGAACGCAACATTGCCGAGAACAAGGCCATCGCGATTCTCGAGGCTGGAGTGGCTACCTTTTCTGACATTGCCGACCTCTTGGATTCTCTTCCGGATCGGGCCACGGCGAAGCTTCGGCGGACCCTCAGTGACGCCATGCCACGGCGTGGTGGCTTCTCAGCAGGCGCCTACAAATTTGCGCACGATATAGGCGTACAGGCAGCATCGCGGCTCTACCCGTTCGTGACCAAGGCCCGTACAGCCATCATCCGGGAGGCGGGGGGAGCAGACTTTCAGTTCTCTTCACTCACGCTTCAGCGGAATACGATGGTGCAGCTTCATCGTGATAGCGACAATGCTGTGCACTCCACCAATGCGGTGATCCCCTGCTCACGCTGGCGCGGTGGCAGTCTCTGGGTCCAGCATCCGGCCGGGGCCCATACTCTGGACAAAGACTCGGGACCAGGCACACTGCATCGCATAAGCTGGCCCTGTTGCAGATTCGATCCACACATGAAGCACGCGACGCTACCCTGGTGTGAGGGCGATAGAGTGAGTCTTATTGGATACACAGTTCGCTCGCTGCAACGACTGAAGGATAGTGATCGGCAGGCCTTGATCGACCTGGGTTTCCGGCTCCCGGCTTGAGATCCAGAACGTCGCTGAGCAAACATCGGCATCAGCTGCTGAGCACAGCATGTGCCGGGCACAGTACAGCGGGGAATATGGCAGGGAATACCTCTGCGTACATGCATCTGTGAACCTTTCTCTTAGGACTTTATGCGCATCGCCACCCGTGTGGATGCGGAGCCTCGGTACGCCATAAGCTGCGTGATGCAATCAGCATCCGGTGACGCCAAGCTCACCGACCTAGTTCCTGTCGCAATGTTCGGATCTCTCCTAACTATAACTGCGGTACAACAAACAAACCACCCGCACCACCACCACCCGCACCACCACCACCACCACCACCACCACCACCACCACCACCACCATCACCACCACCACCACCACCGCCATGCACCACCACCACCACCACCACCACCACCACCGCCACCGCCACCGCCACCGCCACCGCCACCGCCACCGCCACCGCCGCCGCCGCCGCCGCCGCCGCCGCCCCCGCCACCGCCACCGCCACCACCCCCACCGCCGCCGCCACCGCCACCGCCACCGCCACCACCACCGCCACCGCCACCGCCACCACCACCACCACCACCACCACCACCACCCAGACCACCGTTTGGATCTATTTAATAGATCCACGTCGAAGTTGTGAAAATAGATCCAGAAGCAGCTTCTGGATCCAAAATTTAGAACCACTGGTATTTACAGCACGTGACGAGCGAGTCACTTTTGAACCATTTGAGCCAAAAGCTTTGCGCTTGAGCCGAAAAAAAAAGATATTAAAAAAGGGTGTAGGGTTTTAGGGTTTTAAGGCTTTTAGGGTCGTAAGGGTTTGAGGGTTGAACTCAGACGGTCGGTTTGGGATTGGGAAATGTTGCTGGATCTTCACCGTTGTGTTCGGCAAGCACGAATCCGAAGATACTTCAAAACGAAGCTTGAATCCGATGTGTCAAGGCTGAATGAAAGCTCGATCTCGCCGTCATTTTCAGCCCCAGCTCGGAAGTCTTGAGTGCTTTCTCGAGTGAGACACTGATTAAAGCACATCCAGGACAGCATGCAATCTCCGTCGTGAAGCCTCGATGTCCCGGATGATTTCCGGATCCTGCGAAAGCTCGGGTTGTGTCGTGAATCTTTTCACAGTAACTGCTTCATTAAGGTCTTCAGCTACGGGATGTAGGTTTGGATAAACAGAAATGGTCCTCTTCCAGATTTCTCACTCGAATCTTTCGACGTCGGAATCTAAATCGGATGGAATCCCACAAGCTCGTGTAAAGCAGCTCCACAGCAGGTCGATCCGGAGCGCATGCCCAAGCAGCCAGAACTGCTCGGCAGAAACATCTGGTGTATGCAGCGCTGTTGGCCAGATGCTTTCCTCCCGTAACATCCATCCTCTCTGTCGTCGGGTTCCATTTGCGCACAAAGTAAATCTGTTGCTTCAAGATGGCTTTGCGGGACTTTCAAAACCGCTTTGCTCTAGCAAACGCCAGTGGTTGTACTTTCAGCAGCTTACGCAACCAACGACATTTATAGTTTGCAGCAACAGCTTTTTGCCGAATCAATCCCACTATTCGCTTTGACCAAATCCTCTTTAGTGAACACAGAATGTCGCTTGGAAGATTGCTGTAAATCTCAGTTGGTTTAGGCATAGGGTGGCCAAACCGCTGCATCCAAGTAAACAGCCGTGATGCACCAACTTCTCGAAGAAAAGCAGCCATCTCTGGAAGCTTCCAGAGAAAAGAATTCCGAGGTTGTTCCAGCCTCAGAGTGCTCAGAATCCGTTTTAATCACCCGAAAACGCTCAAACTTGGATATTTAGTCGAGGGGCAAGAAGAAAATCTTTCGACTGTGTGCCACTGCCAAGACTACCACTAAATTGATCGCGATCTGGTTTGCTTCCCGAATCAAGCGTTGATACTGGTCCCCGTAAACGTTCATGTCGGTTCTACAGTGGAAGCTCTGGGACACAAAGATAAACATCGAGCAAGGCGGCCCTGCCAGGATACATCCACCAGTCACCTGAGTTTGTTTGAGATAGGCAGCCTCGGACCTGGTAACCCCAACCTCAGGAAAACACGCAAGCCTGAACACCGAAACCAGCTTCCCAAGGCAACCCTGTAGCTTCTTGACCGAATCACAAGGAAATCTAGACCTAAACCTAAACCCGAGAGTCTAGCTAATTGCTAGTAAGCTTCGAGCGAACACACCAGGGACAGGACTGCGTAGAACCCAGGCTTTGTCAAGATGTTCTGCATGATCGGATCAGCAAGTTTGTCTATGCTGACACACCGCTTGCCGGCATCCATGCATGTGTTCCGAAAGCTCCCTTGACCCGCAAACAGGTCCAAGCAATGGAGATCTCTCCACCTGTATCGGTCGAACAGTTTCACCTTTGCATCGATTTCTTGTAGGTTGGCACTAGCATCGAAGCAGCCATCAGACTCCTCAACCATGCGAAGAGCCTCCATGGCTATAGGATATCATATGTACATTCAGTACCGTCTCGAGCATGAAACCATACACGATCATGTGTGGCACCCGGTTTTGTTGCACATGAACATGGCATTCTACCTGGCATCATAAAGATCGACAAAGACCTGGCAAACAACACAAAGAGTGCAATCAATATGTTTTTGCATCATGTGCAATCGGACACATAGGCATCGAAAGCTTTCTTGTGAAACATGGAAGCCTTCCAGTGGATGACGTTAGCCCACGTTCTTCGGTGGGCTGATCTGGCTATCTTCGCGAAGATCCCGTTTAGACTCTCGTCGCGGTATGTCGAGTAAGCCCTGGGATTTCCCTTGTAAAGGGCTCGCTGTATCATGTGAAACAGAAGGTGAAATTTAGGTTTCAGAACACCCCCGGCCCGTCCATAAAATAACAGAAACCGAATGTAGCAGTTCAGAAGCTTCTGAACTGATCCCAAATCAATTTTCCGACATGACAGTCCCAGCACCTCATCCATTTGCAGTGCGTTTTTGGCTGCGGCCAACAACAGTTCTGCTGTGCGGCTCGTGTCGTTGTCTAGGGTTCGGAACTCATCTAGGTGGCGATCCAAGAACCAATGAATAAATCGCAAGAGTCCGTGGCTTTCAGCAGCCTTGCAGCTGAGGTTGTAGGTCTCTTGGTTGCCCAACATCCCCAAGGTGAGATTCCAAACCTGCAGCGGGGTTGTGGGCTTGCGGGATTGAGGGCTTACTTTCGCGGGGTTGAGGGCTTACTTTCAACTAAAACCCAGGCCCTTAAGACTCTAATAATTAGGTCGCCCAACATAATATCCCATCCCAGCCTCAGTACCTTTGCGTTTCCACTCCGGGTCCAACTCCCGAAGCTGCTGGTAAAACAAGAAAAGCTCCGACTTAATCACGAGTAAACTCATCTGCTGTCGATCCGAAGCATTAAGATGAATTGTCTTGGGAGCGAATAGTCCTGACCCGATACAGAAGTGGAGTGTCAAACTGACAAGTTGTTGTAGAGGACCTAAATGCCAGGAGTGCATGATGTCTATGGCCCAACTTTCCCACGTCAGCCCAGGGATGTCGAAGAGTGGACAACCGTGTGTCAAACGACCATCTTCCGGACCAACCCAAAACGTGCAATCGAACGGAAGCGGGGTAAACTCGAACTGTCCAACATCAGGCAGACCTGGGCACGGCTCCAGCCGCCAACCTTTGCGGAGGCCAAGTTGCGGCAAGTCGCAAACCAGGGCTCTGCCAAGGGTTGCTTTCTTGTACTCGAGGTGCCTCGTGATAGTTCTCATAGTCTCTGCGTCGGGGATTGGAACTACCTCAGCTTCAGAGAGAAATTCCAGGGCTGTACATTAATTGGTGCTGCACGAACATGCTGGACCGTGTTCAACTTTACTGAAATTTTAGGCTAGCCACCTTTGTGAATTCTCGCAGAGTCACCTCGTACGTGTCGTGTGTGAACAACTCATATGGCATACTCACGACGGTTACCCCCTCGGCGTGTGGCTGGCACAGTTGCTCTTGATTGATCATGCACAACGGACAGGGGAACTTGCCATGGCTCCAAAACCGAGCCCCTACAACCTCCAGCCATGCCGGCCAGTCTGTCTGAATGTCTAAGACTGCATAGCGAACAGTGTCTCTCGCAGCTAGCTTTTGCAGGTCTCGGGTCCATTCCAATAGAGCCGGATACAGGGAACACCAGCCACGGCATCCGCATTGACACATATCCTCACTTCCTTAGATTAACAGCGGTAAGCTAGAATCAGAATGCAACGATCCTAGGATCACGATCGGACGACGTCATTGCTGGCTGCATGCAGACGAGGCCACTGAGCAGGAATGATAGGAACTTCTGTTCGGAAAGGAGGTCAGTCACGAAGAACCCGGTAAAGGAGTCGTGAACGGAATATCTCACTCCATCCCAATACAATGCAATCGGTCGCACGGGGATTCCTTGGGAACGTGCTTGCGACACTACAGGATGTTGTTCAAAGCAAGATAGCCCGTTGAAGAACTCGTACCGCTTTTCGGATAGTAGTGGTCCTTCTGGGCCTTCTTCAGGTCCTTTAAAGCTGTCGGGGAAATGAGGGTGAGGCGGAACTCGTTGATGAACTCGGTAAGATCCTCCGCTCCACTTGGGTGGAGGCTTTTCTGGAACTCATCCTGCTTGGAGCGGTACTCCTCCAGCAACGGCTTGCACCACGACCACTCCGAAGGGAAGCGGTCTGCTTCTCCCACCACCCGATCCACGATCTGCTGGCCACGCTCATAGAGGCAAAGGAGCTCCTTGGCTTTCTTCTCCTGAGCCTTGTTGTTCTTCGAAGCAGCACAGCTCTTGGCCTTGGGTTTCGGCTTGTGGCCGCCATTCTTGCCTGACTTGGACTTGCCGGGCGGCTTCTCGTCGGTGGTTGGCGAATCCTCTCGCTTCCTCTTGCTTTGAGGTGTGGCCATGGTTGAGACCGTTGTTCCCGCCTGCGATGCTCCATCATCCACCTGCTCAATCCCGGGCACACTGATAACCATCTCCGCCCAGCCTTGGAGTCCATGGGGAGATGCCACGACGTCCTCCAAGGAGACGTCCTCGAGACTCAGCTGGTGGCTGGCCGCATACTTTCGTCGAGCTTTCAAACGAACACTCTCGAGCTCGAAGGTTTCTCCCTCGTCCATCATCTCCACCACTTCCTGCCACTCTTCCGAAGTCGAGCTGGACAAGCGTTCGACGAGAAGGTAGTTCTCAGCATCGGCCCATGCATTCCATTCGACAAAAGTGTCCGAGAACAGCTTGCACATTTTGATGTAATGAGCAGCCTGTCTGCAGGCTTCAGCATGTTCCGAGCCGCCGAAATGGTTTTGCAATTGAAGCTGATTCTTCCAGCTACCAATCTCTGACTGCTTAGTCTTGCTTGTCAGCTTTCTCACACGCTTGCGCAAAACCTTCTGAAAGTCACGCTCGAGGGCCCACGTGGTTCTAAATTTTTTTTTCAAATCATCCGTCAGCCAGCGGTAAAGTTCCTTGACCTTCGGATGCTTGGCAAAGGATCGATTGATGGCTTGCCCGACGGCTCCCCTCGCTGTCATGTCGATCCCGTAGGCCGCCCAGTAATGGAGGCCTTCAGTCGAACCTTCTACCGTCTTTAGCTCGACAGTCGAGGCTTCGAGATTGTGGAACTCAGCGTACTTCTCGATCGCACGGTCTTTGGAGGGCACTTCGGTAACAGTGGGCTTTGCCTGCAAGAAGCATGGATGCTTGCTTGGGAGGATCGATCGGCTGGCACACACAATGTCTGACTACTTTGTAATTTAGCTACAGGCACAATAACACATATCCCGAAAGTCCGAGACTCCAATCGAATCGTTTTACCCCTGCGGAGAAAACCCTAAATATCCCTCGAATTGAACACAATTAATTCTCGGAAGGCCTTCGCTTCTGCTGCATCAACGACCGGCTGCGGTGGATCAACGACCGGCTGCTGCTCCATCTGCTGGGCGGCTGCCTCCGGAGCAATTGGGCTTTGGCTGCAATAGCTGGTGTTTTTCGGCTTTACTGCTTTCGGTTTGGGGTTCTTTAGGATTGGGCGGCCTTGCGAGTTTCGAATGATGCTTGGATTTACAGTCTAGTTCTCATTTCTCAAGCACGAGCCAAGGTCTATATCGATATAAGAGTATACAATATCTAAATACGACAGCCGCTGGCTTTTGCTGGCCTCCTGCACAGCTCCTGCTGCTGGGAGCTGGATCGGTGTACCCGGAGCAGCCATTGCTAAGCGTCTACGCAAGCCGCCCGAGCGTAAACGCACCAAACTAGGCGTAAGCGCCCAAATTAAGCGTAGCCTAGAGGGCTCATCGGTAGCTCATCGGGCCTTGGTGGGGCTCATCGATCCATCCCTGGAAGCTCATCGCTGGATCATCGGGGGGTTCTGGCTTTACGTAAAGAAAGCAGGCTGGGACCCAGGGATGGTATCCCGGACGGTTCATGGCAAGATCGACTGAGGCTCATCGGCTGCAGGCTCATTGGAGGCTCATCGCCAGCAATCCTTTAGCCACGGGGCCCAGGATACGAGGGCTAGCTCTACCATGAATCTTTGGGCCTTGGCCTCATCGGGAGCTCATCGGGTGCTCATCGGGGTTTTGCTTGGGGAAGGCTCATCGCATGGTTTTTGCTAAAGATCATGGTTTTCTATTAGAATCAATCAAAACCGCCCGCGGCCGGCGCGCAACCCGCTCCTGGATCTAAATTGACCCCGTATAGTAGCTGTAGCTACAATCTGCTGAGTCGCTCCTGTATCTATAGATGAATGCCGTGGGCGAGTGTTCCAGAAGCATTGGAGGATTGCCGGATTGTATCGACCGTCTGAGTAGCTGGCACATGACTGTGGGATTCTCTCTTGACATGAGTGCTCCAGAACTGCTTGCACACTAGGGGTTGTCACCTTATTGAGGTTGTGTATACGTCGTGCACCCATACACTCGAAACTTACCGAGATCCTGATTGCCTCGCACGATTGAAGTAAGCTGAACTATGAACCCAAATTCTACATCAGAGCCTGGAGTCTTGCCGGGCCCGAAGTCTGTGCACATCATCATTATTGAGCACTATAACCTACAACTTCCCCAAGACCCCGATCTGTAGTTTCTTTCCAAAATTTAGAGGTGGGTGTACTCTTATCAGAACCGTGTTACAACATAAGATGTCGGCGACTTCCTGTTGCGACACTAGATTTTCTTGGGGCACTATAGGGCTTGGGGGTCCTTGGCTAGGGTTCGCACGACAGTGGTCCTTCGAATTTAAGTGATTAGTTTTAACTGACTACTGTTCATGCCTGAAAGACTCGAACCTAGAACTACGGCAGCAAGTCTCCGCCTCTATACTTGTAAGACCAAGGAAGCACACCGTCCCATCCCAGGTTTTGCACGTGCGAACTGGTCCGGACTGGTGCTGCAAGGAAGAAGTGAAACCCTGAGGCCAGACGAAGTACTGCAGCAAGCTTCTGAATGCGGCTTGAGAAGTTCAAACACTTGGGATTGGTCATGTAGTGTGTAACTTCAATAACAAGCTGGGGCATTCGCTACTCTGGGTTGTTTTGCTACTGCAGTCTGGGTATAACTCACATGCATCACATGTCTACATAGCAAATACAGCGCTCCCGAAGTCTTGCAGCTGCAGCTACAAAAACAGAAAGCCAACGAAGCTAGGATCATGCCGTCTGAGTCTGAGTCTCTTCAACGAAAGTTTCGCATGTATCAGGGTTGCCAAGAACACGGGGAGGCTCCGGCACAGGAGCCTCCTTCTCTCGGTCGCCAGGAGGGCTTTCGGAAATGTGCCGACCACTTCGCCTCAGATTGGCTGGGACGTTTTGCTTGACAGGGAGGCTTTCTGCTTGATCACAAAGAACATCGGCGATGTCACCGTACAACGAATCCGGGGGTGCTTTCTTTTGCCAGGCATGTAGATGACTTAGAAGATCACCATCATTGTAGGCGGCCAATATCTCATCCTTACGCATCTTCAAATGTAGCAAATCTACCTCGCCCAGCATGAGCTCTACCTGAATCCGCTTCACAATCAGCATTGCCACCCATGCCGGGTGCCGATCATCTTTGCAGACGACCTGCACCTTCTGCTCCCATTTGCCTTGCTCAGCCTTGTGAAACAAAGCCACAATCGAGTTTCTCTTGGATTGCTTCTTGTATTGAACTTTGGTTTCAAACCCTTCCCCTGGAACGTGGCAGTCTTCCATGAGTTCCTCGATGCATGGGATGTCACTCTTTCTGGGATCTTGGGCATCCTCGCCGCTCTCCTTCTCTTCTTTGCCAGTGCTGTCAGACTGTCCCACCTTGCCTGCCTCAGGCGTGGCGGCGGCTGCCTTCGGCTTCTGCTTGGACTTCGTTCGACGGGCGGCAAGATCTTCCTGGGCTTCGAAAGTTTCTCGGGTTTAATCGAGATGGTTTGGGCAGGCAGAATGTTCGGATGCCCGGTTTCCAAAGGTGGGTTGTTGTCTGGGGTGGGTTGTTGTTTGGGTTTGAGGGTTGATTATGTTGCGACTTAACTTGCTAGAGGGGCTGCACATTTAGACACAAGCAGCAGTGCATCGGAGCTGTGATTAGGACCGGGCTGCGGTAGCCACACGAGCCTAGCTCAAGTAGCACATATGACACACATGCATGAGGAAGTCATGCAAACTGTTCTTCTTGTGGAGATATGACACTAAACAAACACAGCCTGTATTATTCCAGACCTAGCATCCTGGGTGATGTGAGGCACGTCCACAGTCATCCCATCAGGGAAGACACATACTACAGGGTCAAAACGATCCTTGCTCGCATCCACCTCCGGATATTTAGACCACTCCGCAGGACCTGGCCGGCCTTTAGTGATTGCTTTTCGCCAGGCTCGCCCAGACCCTGCATCCCACCCGGTCTCATATTGCGGCTTGGACTCTGACCCAGGCTCTGACTGCTTCAGCTGCTTCGGCTCTTCGAGCTTGGGCTGCTTTGGCTCTGTGCGCTTCGGCGGCTTAGGCTTTTCGGGATCGGGGTTCTTTGGCTTTGGCTTTGG